CCTAAAGGAAGGGTCTCTGCTCAGGAAAAGAGCTTACAGAGTGTAGCCTTTACCAGTGAGTGTTCAGTGGATATAATGACAAGGAGCTTGCTTAGAAATGAAGGAGAAAGGGTTTTTCCTGTAACAGTGAGTTATACTCACATCCCATAACAGTAATTACAAAGGGTTCTTTGGCCACTTGTGTGTTAGAGTTCTCAATAAAATACATATTGATGGTATTAAAATGCTGTGAATAGAGAGATTCCTTTTTGAGTTCCTTCTGAATCAAAGTATTTGTTAAATACAAATGCCAAGATAGAGATTACACTTACCAACACCGATAAAACTTGCCTTGGACTACATTATGAGTGTATTTATGCCATTATGAAACTGTGGGAGGCTGGAAAAGCCTGCATAGGCCCTTACCTATTGTAAAGAAAATGCCTGTTAGAGTAAAATAAGGTGTGAAAAGGCACAGCTGGAAGAGAGGAGGAGGGAAGTAAATATGAATCTTATCAAGATGCAACAGATATTGAACTGATGAAATTAAGCAAACATAAGTATGAATTAAATCAAATCTAGGCTGTGTGTACTCTGCTGAATTAAATCAGGTAAAAATATGGAAATAATAGTGCTTTGCCTTCTTTATGGCATCTTAAAAGGCACGTCAATCCAAATAAAGTATTGACTGTAACAAAGTTTCAGATGGTTAGTAGGCACACAACAAATTAATCAAGAATGTTGACTGTCCCACAAAGAACTATATAATTCAGCAGCCTCTTCTTGCAGACTTTAGTCCATTTACTCCAGGAAGATTATCCTACTATGCTATCAACCATGAAAACAGAAAAGGTGGTTTCAATAATCTAAAGGAAGCTTCAATAAAGCAACTGAAACTCAAGGTTGTCAGCACAGGAGAATGACAATCAAAAAGAATTTTTAAACATAAGCATCCACAAAGTAAGGAATGTATAGTAGGTTTGAGATTTTGCATTACTATTTCCAAAGTGAAGCACAGCTGTTCAATTTCATTGCAGTTTAGAACGAGAAATTCAATTTTGTGTGTGTGTGTGTGTGTTAACAATAGATACCTTGGCTTGAGATTGTTACCATGTTGTATATGATAATATTTTTGTTTATTTTGTGTTTTCCTTCTTCTAGCTCCATAGACTGAGCAGCTAACAATTGAAGGTATTTGCTGCATCTTTACATCTGTAGAACTAGTTTAGAGGAGTTCCATTTACTTTCAGAAGGAACCATAATCATTGCAGTGTGTACAGATGTAGATATGCATACTTCCACATATTTTCATGTGTGGAAGCCTCAGCTTAGCTACAGTAAATGGGTGGAACTTGGGAGAAGACTTTAGAAATGTTGCATCTTGAAGCACTCCATTTATTCTGAGCATAGGCTAGAAGATGATAGAAGTCTCAATGGTATGGTCTTGCAGAGCTCCTGCTCGTGAAGCAGCTTCGTAAGTGCTTACTGAACATGAGGGGCTTTCCAGATCCAGGCCACATCCTACAGCCCAAGTTCTGATGTTGTCTTTCAAAATGTGCTCCAGTCTTGCCATGGTAGAGCAGAGGGACAGAGCCCTGGGCACAAGTCTCCGAGTGAGGCACTGCACAAGCCTTTCAGTTTGCCTTCATAGAAACTCTTTGTTTCTGATTGCAGTGTAGTTTTGGGAGCGTTACTCAGGCCATTCTCTTGTGTTACCAAACCCCATTTGGTACAGGCCTCATACCATGTTCATTCAGATAACAGCAATAAGCACAGCCATAACTCATGACAGGTAAGCCTAAAATCACCACAGTGGTTTGCAAAGGTAATAGAGCTGTCTGAAATCGGCATAGAATCACACCTATTGCCACAGAGTTGAATTCTGAGTAGTGCCTGTCACTTGAGCTGGGTATTTGCTTTGCACATTGCTAATGAGATGTCATTCTTCCATTGGCACTGTAAATCCAGTGGTACCTCCTGAAATCGTGTGCCATGAGTCCCCTGTGCAAAGGTGATGGAATATCACGGTGACTTACAACAGTCTTATTATGTAAAATGTTGGCAAATGGATTAGCCTTTTAGTGTTGATTGCTGCATCTAAACAATGTTCACCCACCGCAAAATGTCAGCACTCTCCTGGTGGCAAATTATGAGCGGCTGAATTGAAATGAGTGGTCTCATTTATATTGGGCTTAGAAATGTAGCACTGATAGCTTTTTTGGGGAAGGAGGGGAAATCACAGGGGAATCAGTAAGTGTTATGAAAGACACAATCCAAGTCAAAGTTGTCAGCTTTTCTTTTACCATTGGTAAAAAAAAAAAAAAAAGAGTAGAGGGAGAAGAGAAAGAAAAAAATTATGCAAATAATGGGAAAGAAAAGGCAATGCAGCCTGACTGCTGCAACTCTTCATCCTGAAGAGACGCTACTGAAGTTGTAGTTCTTCTCTTTGCTGCGTTGGATCCATTTAGGTCTCACTGTACTTTGCATGTTGCATATCAGATTTTATGATATTTGGGATTTCTTCTAGGCCTCTTTCTTGTTTGTTGTTGCCCTCTGACTGTAGCCTTCTGCCCAGTTTTGGGGCCTGTTTCAGTTGGTCTGTTTTACATTAGTCTGGGCTCTTGTCTTTCCCTCATCCCTCCCTTGACTGGGACTGGATCCTTTTCTGCATGCACAGTGTTTGCTCATGGATTTCACAGGAAATTTTGTAACTTGTCCAATTCACTGGGTTTAGATTTTTAATATTTTATATTACTACTTTATTATTACTAAAATAGCAGCCAGAGGCATCTGAGCTGAGGTCAGGACCTCACTGTGCAAACTACAGGAAGAGGTAAGCCTGTTCCCGAGGGCTTGCAGTGCTACTGACGGGTACTCGGGTGCCTGCATAAATCACAGGGTTAACAGCTGCATATTTCCACAGGTTTCAGGCTAGGATGCCAAAACGCTCTTGAAACACAAATAAATTTAGCCTCCTTTACTCTATGAAAGTCAGAGGCTGGTTCTGCAGTAACACTTTCCCCCTCTCTAATTCCCACACATGTACTTGTTACTGACATATATATGAGTCTGGTCAATATAGGTGCTTAACTTTTTAAAGAGCCTGTGTAAGTCACTAAGTGCATATTGATTTGAAGCAAATGTAAATTAGAATTAATTTTGACTTGCTAACGTAGTCAAATAAGGAACATTTCTATTGATCTCTGTCCCAGAAGCCAATTATCTGGATTAAGTGTTTTTATTACATGAAATGCAGAGTATAGTATATATCATTCTGCATTGATCAGTGTGAAATTGCGTATTTAAGACAAGGACTGTAAGCAAGAGTAGTTAACAAGTGATTTATTTTTAAAAACCATATCTTGTTTTATTTACCCCCTGCTCTTCCCAGTTCAAAAGCTGTGCTTGTAACTACTACCGAATAGGAGGTTGTTGATGCGTGTGGATCAACAGGGATTCTTGTTCATATCATTTCCATTTCGACTTCCTTCTCTTTTACTCTGCTCCGTCTATACTGTGCGTTCCCTCCCCCTTCTGCCTCCCCAGCCACTGTAAAGCTTATCTAGATTTCCTACTCCTTAGCGGTGAGCAGTTCTGCCGTACTGTGCTCTGCAGGGAAAAAAAAAAATGTTTCCTATATGGAATAAATACATTGCAGCTATCGCTCCTGCAAGCAAGCAATGCTAAGTATCTGGAGAATTTACTAGAGCATTACAGGTGATGGTTGTAAAAAGTGTGCTGAATAGACGAGACAGGGATGCTGTAGTTGGTGTCAGGGTCCGGGGGCCCCGGCCCCTCCATGACCAGTCTCCCGGGGCTCAGGTCACTTCCCGCCGAGCCCTCGGGCTCTGCCTTTCCCTTCCCGGGAGCAGGATGCGGCCACAGCGCGCTGTTACCAGGCTTGCGCTTGCAAGACTGCGACCTCCAGGAATCGCTCTGCTTCCCGTTATCCAAAGGCTGACATTATCTGTATGTATCGCTATAGCGGTCCGTGCCTCAGCCCTACAGCAACTTAATAATCTTGGTAACATCCTGCACTCAACTCATTTTCTTGGCAGTAGTTTTAATTACGTTTCGGGCTCCTGAATGAATTTGTTTTCTCTGGATCCTCGGTATATTGAGACGCTTGTCACGTTTGGGTGCCTGCAATCACTGATGCGTTTGTTTTAGGGGATGAATTAGTCTTCTGAGCCTGAGCATGTCCAATTTATGAATTAGATTTCATTGAAAGCTAGAACAAAACAAAACAAGAAAAGGTTATGCTGTACCGCTTTTCTCCCCCACCCCCTCGCCCCCAGCGCGGGGGTAAAAGCCTCCCATTTCCATTTCGCTCCTCGAACGCGTGGATCATGTCCCGGGCTCCAGCGTGGGGAAGGAGGAAGGGGCAATCCCTCCAGCCCGCTGTCGGCTCGGTGCCCCGAAGTTGCAGGAGCGGCGGCGGGCGCAGCCCCTCGCCCCCACCTGCGGGGGCGTCCCGCGGAGCCGGGCGGGGGCTGCGGGAGGCCGCGTAGCGCTGGGCGCCCTCCGGGCAGCGGCTGCGGCCCCGCGGACCCTCCCGCGCCCGGCAACCGGGAGCTGCCCGCCCGCCTCGCCTCTCTGCGCTTCGAGCATCGGCCCCTTTGCCCCTTTCCTCCGGGAGATAGGCGTTATATATAAAGATAGATAGATAGACAGATAGATAGATAGATGTGCATCTAATTCCGGATGTACCCAGCTGTATCCAGCCGCGACCAGCGTGCCCGCTCCCGCCCGGCCGCCCCGGTTCCCCCTGCCCCGTCCCTGCCCCGGCGGCACCGAGCGCCGAGGCTCCGCAGTCACGTGGCGCGGGGGGCGGGCGGCGGCGGCGGGGGGGCCGCTCCGCAGTTCGCGGTCTGCCGGCGCCCCGGCACACACCGAGCGCTGGAGGCTCCGCCGTGCCGCCTGCCAACCCGGGATCTACCTCCGTGATTTTTTTTTTTTTTTGAGCCCCGGCTTTTTTTTTTTTTTTTTTTCCTTTTTTTTTTTTTTTTTCCTCTCTCTTCCTGTCCCCATCGCCCGTTTTTACTCGATTTTTGGGAAATTCTTGGCTCGCTGCGGGAATTAGGGATTTTTTTCTAAGAGGGGGGTGTCTGGGCATCTCCCCCCGGCGCCCGTTGCCTTGCTCCACCTGCCCTTGCGCCTTTTTTTCTTCTTTTCCCCTGTCTGTCTCTCCCACCAAACCCGGGCTGATGTGCTGTGCGAGAGGCTGGAAATGGAAGTGTTGATGCTCTGGCTTTTCCCCTGGATATTTCAGTGCGTTTCGGTGCGGGCGGACTCCATCATCCACATTGGTAAGACCGGGAGCGGGGGGGGTTGGAGATAGAGGCGGTAGATAAATAAATATATAAAGGGAGAACCTCGTTTAGCCGCGATAATGTCACGGGCAGCGATTGAACCCAACTCCGTGGAGAGACAGGAGGAGGGATGGGAGAAAGGCGGCTGAATTCCCCACCCTGCTCTCCCTGATTGTAAAGTTAGGGGCGAAATGCCGGCTGTTTGCCCGGCCGGGAGCGGGCAGGGGACCCGCCGGAGCGGCCGCTGCGGTCTCCCATGTGCCTGGGGAGTCTGTGCTTGGACCTGTTTGCGTGGAAAGGCTTTCTTCCCCCCCCACCCCCCGCCTCCTCGCCACCGAAAACAAACAACCGCCCCCATCACCCGAGCAGGAGAGAGGCATAATCTGAACGTGCTCACAGGGAAAACTTTAGGGGAGATAATCCCCTGGTTTGCATCCCCTGTCGTAGCAGGTGTCAGCCGAGCCGGAATGCGGAGGGGGAGAACTTGGCTGGGAAAGGGTTAGGAAGGCGAGCTTTGCAGCGGCTCTGTGTGTGCGTGTGTGTCTATGCGCGCAACTGTTGTGGTTTGAATAAGATCTCATTAAAACCCCTGGGCAGCAAGAAGGCTGGATCAGCAGTGGGAGGAAGAGAGGGATGAATAAGAGGCTAAGGAAAGGCTGATGTGAACTTTTATGGCTTCTGGGAGCAAGGCAATGGTGATGTCCGCGGGAAGCCTGGCAAGGAAAAGCGAGGCTCTGCAGTCACCTTTTGGCTGGTGTTGAAAGGTACCAGCAGGAACGAAAATGAGGATGTTTAGGGGCGGAGAGGGGGGAGAGAATCACTTGTGGAGGATGATAGAGGAGGAGATGGGAGTACGGCCGGGAAATGAAAAGCCGTAATTCCCACCAGCCTTGCGGGCAGGATGAAAAGATCAAAAAAAGGAGGGGGCCGGGGCAGGAGCCATCCTAGTGAGGGGAGGCTCCACTGAGAGGAGGAAACTCTCGTGTCGGGCCGGGGCGAGGAAAGGGATAGGGGGATCAGCCCTGTAACAAGTCTCCCGGCACGGGCACCTCCGGAGCCGGCGATGGAGGCTCCGGTCATCGCCACTCGCCTCCGGAGCCTTGGGGGCGCAGCCAAGGCAGACAGCATTGCGGAGCCATTAAGGAGACGGGGTCAGCCCTGACCGCAGCGGGGGTCTCGGGCCGAGGGACACTCTCCCCAGGGCAGGCCAGGCACCGGGACCAGCCCCGCAGGGAGACGGTGGGGCGGCCTTGGAGAAAGGCTCTGGCCGGGGGCAGAGGGGTGGGCGAAACAACCTCTGCGGGTCTTCCCCTCGGCCCCCCTTCTCTTGCGTGTGGACGGTGTCCCCTCGGCTTCTCCTCGCACGAACTTCAGCCCTAGTGGTGTTTGCCAACTAAGTGCCGGCAGAAATAGCGGTCCGGTGGGCAGGAGCGAGGAGCTGCCGTGTGCACAGCTCTGATTTCACACGGGCAGTGCACAGGCACGCACGGTGTGAATCATCAGGACTTTTCCAGGCTGGGGAATAACCGGTTTTTTGCTTGTTTTGTTGCCAGCTCTAAAGATCTCCCACCGCCGCGTACAGCAGGGCAGTAAGCCTGGCGTGGGCACACACACGCTCCGTAGGGAGGGATTTTATGTAACACACATCGCCAGATGTTTTCACGTTAACTGCATAAACAGGACAGTGAAATTACAGCTTCCAGGTTACTGGACACAAATCCTGGCTTCCCGTTTGTGCCTGCTTGTAAGCTTCAGTAAAACCGCGGCCTGAAAGGCGGCATCCCAGGAGCGGCGAAGCAGAGAGGGAGCAAAAAGTTGGTGGAGTTCCCAAGCCTGTTCCCTTTCTCGTCTCTGGCGAAGCGAGTCCCTCACGCCGGCGTGGCTGCTGTTCAGGGCTCCGTACATGCCGGTGGAGCAAAAGTGGCCCGGAGAAATGCTGAGCTTGCCCTTGCCCGGCCGCCCCCGCGTACGTCCCGGCTCCGATGCCCCGGGAATGCCCTGCCTGAGGGCGTGCGAGCAGGCCCGGAGGGGAGAGGGGGCTCTGGGGCGGCGGGTGTGACGAGCGGGGCCGAACCCTCCTCACCTTTCTGCCGCCTTCCTCCCCTCAGGTGCCATTTTCGAGGGCAATGCTGCCAAGGACGACGAGGTGTTCAAGCAGGCGGTGTCGGATCTGAACCTCAATGACGACATCCTCCAGAGCGAGAAAATCACTTACTCCATCAAGCTCATAGAGGCCAACAACCCCTTCCATGCGGTGCAGGAAGGTGAGCGCCTCGGGCGGCACCCGCGGGGCTGGGACGGGACGGGGCTGGGGGAGTACCGTCCCCTCCCGGCGGCGGGGAGGGGGTGTCAGCGCCGGGGTCAGCCCGGATCTGTCCTGGCGCTCGGCTGGAAACTTTTCTTCGGTCGGGGGTCGGCGCTGTCTTACAAGGAAAGGGGAGGGACGGCGCGGTGCGGCGGCGGTGGCGCCGAGTCCAGCCCAGCTCAGCGCAGCCGTGCCCGGCCGTGCGGGGAGGGCAGCCCGGGCTGGTAGGGAGGCAGCCGGGCTGCCCAGAGAGGGCAGGGCAGGTCATGGCATGGGGGGCTCCGCATCGCTCCTGGATCCGCAAGCGCCGCCTCTCTCCGCCGCTGTGGAGAGAAGGCTGGGCCCCGGTCCCCACCGCCGCCCCCGATCCCCCATGAGGGACGCGGCTGGACAGGGCAGGCGAGAGGGTCCCGCCCTGAGGGGAGGGGGTCGTACGGCACCGAGGGGCCGGGCAGGGGACGCGGCGCTTGCGGGAACGGCCGCGGAAGGTGGCGGGGCATCTCTCCCCGAGCATCCGCCCCCGCGCCCCCCGGGGGGAGGCGGAGATGGGGTCAGCGCCGAGCACTGTCCCGGGGAGCTGGGGAAAAGGGCAAGGGAGCCGGCTGGAAACCTGCCCAGAGTATACGAGGTCTGACAAGTCCCTACGTGGGTAAATAATTTCAATTAGATCTTTTGCAAAAGGGAAACGTTTAAATTAATCAGCTTGCCTTTACAAATAAGACTTCTAAAGATATTATTTGTGATTTAATGAAGCGAAGGTTAATTATGGCCTAGGTTATTTCAGAAGCTGCGTTTTTCAGTAGTAATTATTCTAGAAACAGAGAGCTATTTATATATCCAGACTAGAATATTTTAAAAAAATGATTCATCACCAGCTTTACCCTTAGTTTTACAGAGCACAGTGAATCTTTCCCGGTATGAAAATTTGCATTAATCCATATGTATTTATGTCTAAGTTGTGTACATGCAAATTATGGCTACAAAATTACACCAAATGTTAATTTTCGTGAACTCTTAACAATTTCTTAACCATTTCTTTTGCTATCCCTTTGCCTTGGAGAAGGTACTAGTTAATATCATGCACATTCAGAAGAAATAGCAATAGATACCTTTTCAAGGGCCTCATCCCATTGACAGTAGGATTCCTCCTGCTGCTCTGAAAGCTTAGCGAGGTGGCATAAAAATAATCTTTATGAAGTGGGAAGAAGGGGACTTTAAAACAAAACTCCACCCACATATTCAGGCACCAGAGGAAAATAAAAATCTCTAAATAATGGCGGGTTGATTTATTGGCAAAGAATAACTGAACAATTGGATCTTCTTACATTTGCAAAAAGCTCAGTGTCCTATATTGGAGCTTATTCATATTCATGGAAGTGACAGTAGTTGGCTGGCTGAACGATTGCTTTCAACAGTGTCTCTTCTCAGAAGTTAAACTTTATGAAACAATATTGAATGCCCAGGGATCTGAGCTGACAGTCTGGTGGATGGGGGTCTCTGCTCAGTTTTGTTGAAAGCAGAAAGGCATGACCCACTGGAGGATTCTTCTTGGTGTATATATATATATTTTGTTGTTGTTGTTTTAGTTTGGTTATTTGATAAGCTTGAAGATTAGTATTGCATTTATGAAGACTATCTTGTAAATAAGTTTTCTCTGTTGAAATTCTTTGCTGCACCCACAGAAAAGTATGTGGTCAGATTTTCAAGCTTTTTGGTATAGAATCTTTGTGCTACCTCAATATATGTAAATAAAGATGTTTTCTGCTGTCCCTTCCAAGAAGTTCTTTTAGGGCTCATGTGCCCATTGCAGTTAGAAATGCTCACTGATGAACTGATACAATGCTTGAAGAATTAAGGAAGTGGTTGATGAATGTTCACAGTTCCAAAAAGAACTTGTTCGCCATCACTACTTCATTAAGGCATATCACGGTGTCTTCTTTTGGGAGGACTATGAAATGATCCTATCTGCAAGCCAAAGCTTGCCACAATGGTAGAGCTAAGCAAAGAGTGTCAAGCTTTGCTCAATTTCCTGGATTGCTTTATTGGCTTAGGTCTTTTTTTATTTATTTAAAATTTAATTTCCTACTTTTGAAATCATTATACAACATGCTGACAGAATCATCCACGGGATGTCCAAGTTGCTGGTCTATTCTTACCCAGCCATGTCTCGTTGCCCGGTATTACTCGGTGTTGTTCTGACTGTTCAAAATCTCGCTGTATCTCACTCCATGGATGTCCTGCTCATTTCAGTAAAATGTTGCATGTAGTAGTCAAAATAACCTGGAGCAAATCCACCACTCGGACTGCTCACAGAATCGTGCTGCTGCCACGTAAAATGCCCTGACATCCACACTGTTCTTCTGCGGTGGCTTTCTAAGCAGCACCATGGAAATCAATGTTGCAAGCCTTAGTTTCATAGAGATGGAACTCGTTATAGTAAAAACCAATTTGCAATAAAAATAGACTATTCTGATACTGCCACCAGAATAGTTCACATGAACAAACCAATCACAAATATTGCTTATATTTGAATTGTCTTTTGCACAGTCCTGTGAGACGACGTGAATTACTCCTTAAGTCTTATTAGAAGAGCGCTGCGAGCAAGGGCCTGCATTTCAATGACTTTGTGCTGGTAACATGATGGAGAATGATCGCTCCATGTAACTAGGTCTGTTACACAATAACAAAACTTTAATTAGTGGTGGAGTAACACTCGTTTGACCCGGCATTTATTGCGCAGTTGGAGAACTTCTGCGTGGGTGGGAAGCGTGGAAGGTTGGTACCTGCAGGGTTTTCTCAGTAGAAGCAGTGAATTCACAGAACTAAAGGCCGAACAGAAGACACCTTGCTTTGCATAGAGAGTGGTTTTCAGTGCTGGATAGTGCTTAAAAGTGTTGCAAGATTTTGAAAAAAACCCCACAAACCACATAAAAAAAGCAGTAGGGACTTTGCTTTAGGGAGAGAAGGGCACTATTGTGATAGTCTCTGATGGCTGAATTAGGAAAATAAAATTCAGATGCTTTTTCTTCAAAGTCTTGGTGGACCCTCATGCTAATGGTTGTCAAGTACCAGTGAAAAGTAATTAATAAAAGGTGTAAATTGTGTTTCATTCTTGGTTTTTCATTTTAATATATATTGCATAAACAAGATCCTGTTGCGCTGATTTTGGCCTCATCAAAGTCATTTTATGACAAAGTGTGGCAAATGGATGGCAGGAGCTCCAGTGGCAAGAGCTGTAACAGTGTAAAGAGTGAACAGACCCTGGTGTATGTGTAAAATAGGACTTTGTTGTCTGCCCTTGCAAGCAATCATTGCATTTTGTAGAATATTGCTTTTATGTATGTGGCAATTACTTGAGGGAAAAATTGTTTTCTCACTGACTGTCATGGGAAGAAATATACCTGGGGAATCATTGTTCTTTTCGTAAGATTTAGAGAAACGAGCTCAGATCACAGATATGAAGTTAAACTATATCCTTGCTTCCACAAGAGCTGTGTGCTCAGTTTCAGCTAAGTGATTGCAATGTGAGGTAAGAAGTGCTTGCTTTGGTGTGTGGTGTGTATTTAAGCTACTACTGTGGTAACCTTTTTGTGATTCAAGGATTCGAATAATCTCAAAGGTATAAGAAATTTTTAAGCTTTCAGTTCAGATTGGGATTTTTGAGCCTGCCACTGGCGTTGAAAAGGGACTGTGTGTATGTGACATATGGGTGGCAAACAGGTTTCCAGATGGGCTTGAAAACACGATGACATGTTGAAACTAAAAAAACCAAACCGAACTAACGTGTAAGTTTTTAACATGTTGCTCTTGAAGGGCCGTAGTTAGCTATAGGTCAAAACTGGGGCATAGGAAAGCCAATACTTAACATTTGTAGTGCCCTTAAGAGAGGGGATACAAAGGAGGCTGTCATTCTGAAACTACAAAACTTTCAAACTCTGTTTTTCAGCGGATGGTGCTTACACATCTATGGAGCTGAAACTTGCTGTTCTCTCTGCATAGCAATTTCAAATGAATTGTTTCTAATTTGGGCAGCCTCGTATGTGCGCTTGTTGATGTTCAAACGCTGTCTGTTCTGGAAACCAGAGCAAATTTGGAAAATCAGAATGCGATTTGAGAGCAAGAATGGTGTTCCATAAATGGATTTATTGTCAGTCCCATACACACTGCTGTGGTTTCAGAGCAACTTGGCACTGATGGCTTTTTGGGCATCTGCGTTGTATACCACTGAGTGCATCTGATCTGATCTCATAGTCTGCAGCACTTGGTGCTGATACATACCTGACATAGAATGGAATAGGACAGACAGGATAGACCATTTCAGTTGGAAGTGATGTGCAACGATCATCTAATCCAACCTCCTGAATAATTCAGGGCTGACCAAAAGTTCAAGCATGATGGTAAGAGCAATATCCACACATCTCTTAAAACAGGGACAGGCTTGTGGCATCAGGCAGCTCTCTAGAAAGGCTGTTCTAGTGTTAGTAAAGAAATGTTTCCTCATGTCCAGTCCAAACTTTTTCTGGCACAGCTTTGAACCATTCCAACTATCACTGGATCCCAGGGAGAAGAGATCAGCACGTGGTTCTTGATTCATCTCTGCTTAGAGCTTACACTGCATGTTACTACCACAGTTTTATTTTCTGAGAAGGTATCAGTTGTTCAATGTGTAGATAACAAAGATGAAATACAGGTCTCCTTTGTGATTTATGTTACTCATGAAATATTACATGTACAAATTTATTTTTTTTTTTTTTTTTTAACAAACATCATTATTGATTTGACTGCACTGGATTGGGGAACTTGGTTCACACATAGAAATCATAGACTTTACCTAGATTTTTAAAGTAAAACATAAAAAAAACCCCAAAACAAACAAACACCTCATCTGCCAGAATTGCAAAGGATTGGTTTATATTGATGTACTGTCAGTTTTTCTCCAGTGTTTTCTCTTGAGTCTTT